AAGCTATCTTAAATATCTCAAAATTAATGTCATATCACTTTACCTGGTCATAAATGATAAAATATCATGTGTAGTTCTCTAGAATTATTTATAGAATGCATTTGTTTATCTGATTGTTAAGGATAACATCTACAGTGAGGAGGGTATTAGATGAATTTTATAAATACATAAAATCAACTCTTTAAAATAGCCCTCAGAAATTTTTTTAAAATGACCTAATAAAGTTGTTTGTATAAAACAGGAGGGAATGCAAACTGCAGAGCAAATGCTGCTGGTGACCCCTCACCCCACTGATACCAGACATCAGCCAAGGGCTAACATTTCTTAGTAAAGGAAGATGGATACAGAAAACAGCCCTAGAAAGGCAACATACTGCCTTCTGAATCTTAGGAGGCCAGCATGCACAGTTCTCAGTGGATTCATTTGGTGAAAATGAAGTTTTCAGGAGGAAATTGTGCCAGGTTAAAGTGTGGCAATGAGAGAAAGGCAAATTGATGTGGAAGAGTCCAGAGGTCTGATGATACTGGGCTCAAAGACTAAAGACAGCAGTGCGGTGAGTCTGAGGGTTCATATCAACTACTTCAGGAAAGAAATGGGAAAAGACAACCATGAAATCATCAACCCAGGCAATGCCAGGCCTTTACACTTGTTTTGTTGCAGTGGACAATCCAGTCATTTGTTTTTTCTTTGCAGTGGGAAAAGAATTCAATGATAAAGAATAGGATCAGCTTTGGATGGGAATGGAAGAAAAGCGAGCCAGCACCCACATGCTCATGTTTGTTTTCAAATAGGGGCATGGGCTGGAGAGATTGCTCAGTGGTTAAGACCACTGGCTGCTCTTTCAGAGGACCCAGATTCGATTCCTGGCACCCACATGGCAGATAACAACTGTCTGTAACTCCAGTTCAAGGGAACCGGATGCCCTTTTCCAATGTTGATATAAATTAGTCTAACCTCAGTGATAGCCAATCTACAATAAACCACATCAGTAATGATTGATATAAATAAAAATTTGTAACAAAAATTTGAAAATTTGAAGAAGACAGCCAATTGCAATAGGTTGCTCCCCCAAATTCTACAGTTTCATATCTCCTGAGTGTGAAGAAAAATATAGGAATCATGGAATATTGCCAGCAACACAGAGAAATCAAACTTCTTCCAAAAATGAATTAAAACATTGGAAAACTCCAATCATGTTAATTTTAACTTATTTTCAATGTGAAATCGTTAATAATTCACAGTCTTACATAAAAATGGAAATTCAAGAAATGTTTTATTTCCTAACAATAGCTAACATCGAGTGTAATCTGTAACTCGGGCAACTTTTTGAAGTGGTATGCATATATTCATCTCATCTTATCACTGTAAATTTATAAGACAGATATTATCTGTCTTATGGGTAAGGAAACTGAGACACAAGGAGACACACAGCTATGGAAGAAGCAAATTTCATTCATTTCTAAGCATTATACATTTGTAATGACCACACTATATTTCATGTAGAACCTTGCTACCACATAAAATGCTACAAACTATGTTCTACAGAGAATAGACCAGATTCTATGAATCATTTGAAACTATGACACAACCCAAAAAATGGAGTAGTACTTAAAATAAGCAGTGAGAGTCAGAGTCAGAGACTCAAGAAGTTAAAGAAAATGAGTAGCATTTGGTGATTGGTTCTGTGTAGGGGCTGCAGAGAAGGTTAAGAAAAACAGAGTTTCAAATGGCTGTATGTAGTAAGGAAGAAAAACTTAAGATGCACGGTGTGGCCTTGAATGGAGTTACAGTACCTTGGACACTGGATGCATATTAGACTTTCAGATGTAGAAGCTGCATGGTTAGATTGGCAAAGGAGCATGCAATGATTGATGTGGATTCAAGGGAACTGTTCCTACACAGGGAATGCCAGTCTGTCCCTCTCCATACTGAAATTCTTCCTAGTTAAGAAAATTACTGCATGAGGAATGGATGTTCCTGTGAGGGATGTTATACTGATTAACATGACAACCTCCATCCTGGTATGCTGGGGTGTAAACTGGAGAGAATACACAGCTGGATCAGAGGCTTGCTGGGTAAAAGCACTTCCTGTGCAAGCATGAGGACATGAGTTCAAAATCACTGGAACCTACATAAAAAGCCAAGTATGGTTGTGTGTGCCTGTAACTTTAGCACTGAAGGGTAAAGGCAGGCAGATATGCCAAGAGACTGAAACCCAGCCAGTGTAGTCAAATGGAGAGAAAGCTTCCAGTTGGAGAAAGACTCTGTCTCAAAGCAGTAAGGTAGAAAGCAAAAGAAGACATCCAATGACCTTCTGTGTACATTTGCACACTCACATGCATGCACCACACATAACAAGTATTTAACACACACACACATACACACACATGCATATACAGAGAAAACAAAGCACAAAGACTGATGCCTTTCCTTGCCTGGAACCCTCCACAGGCTGCTGACCATGGTCTCCCTTGTTTCCAACTCTGTAGAGTCTAAGATTATGGATATACTGTAAGTTCCCCAAGGGCAGTATCTTAGTGATTTTGTTGCATCTGAGGAATCTAGCACAACATAAAAATGTCAGCATATTAGTCTGGGATTCTTGTTTTGTTGACAAGAAGGTAGGGCACTGTCACAGATGTGGTGAGTCCTGTCAGGTCTAAGATTCAAGCATCATTAGGCAGGCTCAACATCAGACACCCTCACAGATGCTGAAGGAAGGGAAACAGAAACAGAAAGGGAACAAAACAAATCTAAGAATGGAGAATGCAGAGCTACAGAGATGGCGCAATGGTTAAGAGCACTGGTTACTCCTGCAGAAGACTTGGGTTTAGCGCCCAGCACCTACATGGTGGCTGACAACTCTCCAAAACTCCAGTTCCAGGAGATTCAGCACCCTCTTCTGTCCCATGTGGACACTGCACACTTGGGTGCACTTACATACATGCAAAACACTCATACACAGAAAATAATAATAATAATAATAATAATAATAATAATAATGATGATGATGATGCAGAATGGAGAATGCTCATACAAAGGCCTGGAACTAGTTATTAGCTACGTCAGCCTAATGTGATCAGAGGACTGTTTCAGTAAAAAAGAAGTAGGTATGCTGGTTGGAGGCTCATTAGAATTTAGAGTGCTTAATTTGCTCCTTAACTCAAGTGGCTAGAAAGGCAAAAAATAATGAAGAAAGCAATAAAACAAAGTGTTCTTTGACATTCTTTCTTCTTAAATTGCTGAAATTCAAAATATCTAATTTTTCTGAAATGTTTACAGTTTATTGCATAAAATAAAATTTTATGGTGTTTTAAAAAAGTAAAAGCAACTTTAGATAAAAACAGTGATAAAGATGGATTTAGAGATGCTGGATCACTTCTCCAAGCTAAAATGTAGAAGAAGAAAAAAATAACATTCCTTTTGAAAACAAGAGACTTTTTTCTTGGTGATTATTGCTATTTATTTTTTATGAAGCGTGCCCTTTGAGGCTTAATTGTGAATAACTGGCTTTCAGTGTAGCTATAGTGATGATGAATTAATTCACCTATCTGTTATTTAGCTTTCAAATGACTATAATGACATAAATAAGCAACATTAAGACTGGAATTCAGGCTAAGTACTTAAAAGCAACAACAAAGAGCAAATTGCTTACCATATGGTACTTCCAGCGGATGCCCTGTTACATCACACCATCCAATGGGGTGAATGTCAGGGCTGTCGGCATCCATCCAATAGTCGTACTTATGGTCCCAGCCATCAAAATGAACCTATTAAGAAGTATTTTGAGTAATTACTATTTTGCAATTAGTATTTCACTAGTCCTTCACCAAAATATTTGAAAATAGATCTCTGAAGCTAAAATTAAAAAGTCAGTCCATTTTCTCGGCTAAGACAATGCTTGACTGCTGTAGAGCAAACACCTCTGTCCTGGTGACTGTCCTGTGGCTACTACAGGTTTCATGTCAAAGTCATGACAATAACAATCACCAAATTGACATCAGTATATACCTGTTAGTGCTGAGAAGGGCATGGATCAAAGTGCAAGGAAATAGTAAGTTCCAAATCCTCACAAACAAGGAGACTCAGACTTGGGAAATAATGGAGGCAAATAGAGAAGATAAAGCATTACCAAGACTGGAAATACAGCTTATTGGTAGAGTGCCTGCCTAGCAAGTATAAGGCCCTAAGCTCAATTCTAAACACCACAAAAAAGGAGAGGATATGATGGGTAGGTAGAGATTGGAGGTATATTAGTGAGGAGTTGGGGGAGGATGGATATGATCAAAAAACATTTTATGAATTAACAAAAATATTTTTAAAAACACCAAAAATGGACATTATTAGTATAGATAGATTATTGAAGGATAGTGTTAGCAGGATTTTTTTGAGGTAGGGCCCGAGTTCAAGTCCAATAATCCAGTTAGTTGACAGACTCATTTATCACTGCTTTGTGCTTTATCTGTCACACACATATACACATACACAAATAAGAAATTAAAGACAGCCAAATTTATGAAACATAAATCCAATATTTATTTGTTCAATATAATAAACTATGTTTTACAATATTGCTATCCAGATAATAAAGTGAATTTATATGTAGTAAAACAAAAAACATCTATTCTTTTACATATTTTCTTGTTTTAACTACAATTAAGTAGAGAATCTGCTATTTTTAATGCAAAAAGAACTTTCATGCCAGCCCTAGTAGTACAAGTTCATAATCCCAGTACTTCAGAGGTTGAGGCAGGAGGATTACAGTTCAAGGCCAAGCTAGGCTAGAGTGATTTCAAGGTCAGTCTTGGTAATTTCCTGAGACTCTGTTTCAAAATAAGTAGCAAAAAGATAGGGCCTGGAGAGATGGCTCCATGGTTAAGAACACTGGCTTAAAGATACTGGTCCTTCTGTAGAGAACCGGGTTTGGTTTAGAGCCTACACAGTAACTAACAACCAATAGTAACTTCAGGTCCAGGGGATCTGACACCTTCTGCTGGCCTCTGTGAGAACTGTACACGTGTGATGTACTTATATACATACAGGCAACATATTCATACACATAAAAAATGGAAAAAGCAAAAAGAAATCCAGTGATTGTAACTCAGAGGTATGGTGGTATAATGACAGAATGTTTCTGTAGCATTTATGAGGACCTAGGTTCAATCCTCAAGTACTGAAACCCAAACAGAATAAATAGACTAGGGACCCAGAACCATAAAGATGTATATAGTAAGTCCCAATATATTTTCTCAAGATTCATTTTCTAAGAACGTGCTTTTTCAAAGTATAGTTCCCAGTCCAGTGGCATCAGCACTACCTGGACCTGTAGTCAACATGCAGATTCCTGGGTCCCACCTCAATCCTCCTAAACCAGAAACTCTAACGAGTGGAGCCTCAGTATGTGTTAAATATCCCGGATGAATAAGACAGATGCTATGATTTGAGAACCACTGATCAGGAACAACTCTGAAGATTCTTTTCTTTCTTTTTTTTTTTTTTCTGTCTGTGCATTCGTGTGTGTGTGTATTTACGTGTTTTCAGATGAGTATGCATGTGTGCATATGCATGAAGCTAGAGGCCAGAAGCCAATGTCTTGTATCTTGGTGTCTTCTTCAATTTCTTTCCACTTTACTTTGAGACAAGGTCTCTCAATGAGCTCAGAGTTCACTCATTCAACTATATTGGCTAGTCAACAAGCTGCAACAACCTTCCTCCCTCCACCTCCCCAGTTCTGGGGTAACAGGCAGACACTGCTGAACATGGCTTTTGTATGTTGGTGCTGTGGAATGAACTCAGGTCCTCATCCTTCCATGGCAAGCACTTTATCATCCAGACATCTCCCTAGCTCACAAAATTTCATTTCAATGAGACTTAGGCTTCTGGCCATTGCACAATGTCCTTTCATAGCAAAAACTATACAACTGCACAAAATACTAAAAAATAAAACTTGTTTTTGCTATTGTTGGCTTTTTTAAAACCTTTTACTATTTATGTACATATTTAGGTTTTCTGAGACAGAGTTTTGGTACATCTAGGATGGCCTTGAACTCCATATCCTTCTCAGCCTTCCATATAAAGGCAAATGGGACCTCCCACCCAGAGGAATAGACAAAGAGCAGAGGTGTGGGAAACATGCCAGGTCAGCTGGACATTGCAATCCTGGTCAGTCCACTACACAACAGAATAAAGAAGCATCTGGTCATTCAATGGATTCAGAAAATATATTTGATCAAGTTTAATACACAACAATAAATTTTTTTGGCTAACAGGAAGCGAATGTGGTCCCTCAGTATCCATCAAAAACTACCATTAGTATCATACTCTATTTTTATTGGGTGCTGTGACTGTTTGAATGAAAATGTTCCCCATAGGCTTCAAGTATTTGGACATTTTGTCTCCAGATGATGGTGCTGTTTTGGGGGGTTTTAGAAGGTGTGGCTATGCTGGAGGAAGCACGTCACTAGGGGTGGGCTTACAGAGTTCTTAAGCCTTGACAGATCTCCAGCTGTTCTCTTGCTTCCTGTGCCTGCATGATTCTGCTGCTCCTGCTCCAGCCACCTCCAGCCACCATGCCTCCCTGTCATGATGGACTGTAATTCCCCTAGAACCATAAGTGCAAATAAACTCTTCCTTTTAAATTGCTTTGGTCAGTGTTTCTATCACAGCAACAGAAAAGTGACTAAAACAGGTGCTTTTCAAAAAAAAATCACTAAGGTGGTAAAACTGTACCATTCACATATGATTATGTAGAAATATGATAAATTAAAAACCTAACTAGAATTTAACAATATTTCAGGATTAAAATTAATGTAAGATAATTGTTTTCCTGCTTACTAGCAACAAACAACTGTATAAACCAATTTTAGCATTCTATTTAGAACAGCATTTCTTTTTCAATGAAGAACATGAGTGTAGGGGTATAGGCCTACCATTCCAGAACTCAAGAGGCTAAGGGAGGAAGATTGAGAATTCCAGATAGTGACAAGCCTAGGATAAATAGTAAGATCTTGTATGCCCCTCCTATCAAAGAAGATTTTAGCAAAACATGTAGGAAAATAGCAAAATGTGCAAACCCTCTATACTGAAAACTAAAACATTCCTAAAGCAAATTAAAAATGATCCACATAAAGGGAGAGGCCTACTATGTCCGGGAAGCTACAAAGCTCAACAGTATTTGTAGATGTTATGTCTCTCAGAAAACAGTAAATTCAATAAGTCTCATTCAGAACAGGAGGTTTGCACTTGGGAAGCTGAGACAGTGGGATGATAAGCCTGAGGTCAGCCTGGGCCACAACTGGTTGAGTTATAGAAAATAAGAGACTGCAGAGTGTGTACCCTTGGTTAGAACTCCTATATTAAACCTTAACCACCCATGGCTCCAGGGACCATTGCAGAAGAGAGGAGTAGAAAGATTGCAAGAGCTAGGGCTGGTCCATGAACATAAGGAAATGGGTTTTCAAGTTACTAGAAGCTTGCTCATGTGAATTTGTGGCAATGGTGGTGTGGAGCACAAGACCCATGCCAACTCAATCAGACAAGGGCCCAGAGTGGCGTAAGGGAAATGGGCAGTGGGCCAGCCCTAGCCTGAGAACTGTTGGGGACTGATCACTACTGGCTGAGGGAGAGTAGACCTTCCTTAAGATCTCTAGATAGGCCGAATACACTCCAGTGGATGAATTTGCACTGAAGAACATCCAAGTAAAATGCTTGAGCAGATGGGACTTAACATGTATGACAGAATACATGAGGCCTGGTCGGGGGGGCATGGATGGGGGGTGTCTTAATTTGATTAAGAACTGTTATATGAAATGTACAAAAGTTCAATGAAAATATTTTTTAAAAACATTAAATGTAAAAAAATCTCAGCATCATTCTTTTCAGAGAAACCAAATGAGATCTCACTGCATATCACTTAAATGACTGCTGACATCAGTCTTTGGTGAGGCTATGAAGCTCCCACACCTCCAAGACACTGAGTAGTAACTGTATACATAAAACAGGCCAAGCATTTTGCCTTCAAGAGGCAGACCTTTCTATTTCACTTATTGTATGATTAAGTCCAGAAATGAAAAGTAAAATGATTCAATTTTCAAAATTTAATTTTGTAGCAGATAGCGATGTTTTTATGAATTGTATTCAGCATTTTCCCAAGTCATTTGTCCCAATTGTCATTTCTAAGGCTGTATATAATTATTGATGATAGATCTTTTCCTAATCCATCCATGTGATTATCCCCTCCCTATAGGGGTTATCTAAACTTGAGGCATACAGTAAATAATTTGTACCCATAAACATCTTTATGAAAGATAGCTTCATTATTTTAGATCTTCATATCTCTAGAGTGAAAATACAATTTTATAAATTCTAACAGATGGTCAAGTTATTGGAGAATATTGGCACTGATGGATATTTACAACCTTGTTGAAAAGTAAAAGTCATTTTGAAAAACCAAATCATTTCTGGCATATTTCATAAATTTATGATTTTTACATATCTGAGATTCTGTAAAGCAAACATATTCTTTTTGCTCCAGTATTGATAAACTAGAAATCAGAGAGAGAGAGAGAGAGAGAGAGAGAGAGAGAGAGAGACAGAGAGAGACAGAGAGAGACAGAGAGACAGAGAGAGAATATTGTCAAAATCCTCAAATCTATTTAAAAGCTTCTGGTGAATCAATTATAAGCATAAAAGTGATACTAAGTTATTTAGACTTACTCTTTATTGTACTTGGTCCAACTTTATTGCACTCTGAGTTATCTAGGCTTATCTT